CTCCCTGTCTTTCTTTCTTTCATTCCTTCCTTCTTTCCTTCATTTCCTTTCCCTTTCTTTTCCTTCCTTCCTCGCTCCCTCCCCTCCCTCCCTCTCTCTCTCTCTCTCTCTTTCTTTCTTTCTTTCCTTCCTTCTTTCCTTTCCTTTCCTTCCTTTCCCTTTCCTTTCCTTTCCTCCCTCCCTCCCTCCCCTCCCTCCCTCTCTCTCTCTCTTTCTTTCTTTCTTTCTTTCTTTCTTTCTTTCTTTCTTTCTTTCTTTCTTTCTTTCTTTCTTTTTTCCTTTCCTTTCCCTTTCCCTTTCCTTCCTTCCTTCCTTCCTCTCTCCCTCCCTCCCTCCCTCCCTCCCTCCCTCCCTCGCTCCCTCCCTCTCCTCCTCCTCCTCCTCTCTCTCTCTCTCTCTCTCTCTCTTTCTTTCTCTGGCCTATTTTGAGTTAAAACATTTTTGCGTAAGGAACTTTGTGGATCTGCAGGAACTATACAGTGGTAGTCCTTGACCACAATTGAGCCCATAACATTTTTTTTTTTGAGACTTTGTAATGTGTGCCAGTGTGTACACAGAAAAAGTGACAGTAACATTTCTCCTCCCTTCTCCCTCTCCTTCTTTCCTCCCCTCCCTTCTCCCTCTCCCCCTCTCCTTTCCTCTCCTCTCCTCTCCTCTCCCTCTCCTCTGGAATAAGGTCAGCTCCAGCATCACATTGACCTGCACACTGGGCCATCATTAGTAACAGTGATAAAACTAGTGTAAAGAAGGACTGGGGTGGGGTGGTGGTGGCAGGATATCAGTATTCCAGTATTTGAGGGGCTGCCACAAAGAAGAGCAGAGGTCAACTTATTTTCCAAAGCACCTGAAGAGGCAGGACAAGAAACAACGGTAGGAAACTAATCAAGGAAAGAAGCAACCTGGAATTGAGGAGAAACCCCCTAACAGTAAGAACAATTAACCAGTGGAACAGCTTGCCACCAGAAGTTGTGAGTACTCCATCACTGGAGGTTTTTAAAAAGAGCTTGGGCAGCCATTTGTCTGAAGTAGTATAGGCTCTCCTGCTTGAGCAAGGGGTTGGGCTAGAAGACCTCCCAGGTCCCTTCCCACTCTGTTATCCTGTTTTTCTGAGTTGGCGCCCCTTTTGTTCTTCTGCAGAACGGCCCAAAAAACCGAAGTGCAAAACCATTCACGAGGCCGTCAAAACAGGGAACATCAAACAGCTAGACGAAATAGTGACCTTCGGCGTCAGCGTCAACGAGGTGGATCCAGTCTATAAGTTCACCCCTCTGCACTGGGCAGCCCATTCTGGGAGTTTGGAGGTAAGACACGATGCGAGATAGCGCTCTGTTCTTTCAAACGGAAAAGAAAGGAATGGATGAGGGAATGAGTGGACAAGGGCGTGTCAGCCCCGATGCTCACGTGGCCCGGTTGCGAATAGGCCACGGCCTGGTAACGTGGCCCGTGGTCCATGGCCCAGGGATGGGGGACCGTCGATGTAGTGTTAAAAACAACTGATGTTGCCAAACTGTTCTGTCCCAGCCGAAGTTTCCAAAAGCAAACACAGATCAATTCCAAAACTGAAACGGTCACGCTTTATTCCACAAATAACCCTCTTTGTAGATAACAGACGGCTTGCAGCCAATTAGTCCAATTAATCAGAGTCTGTAATCATCACACGAACTCCTTCGAACTTTTGACTTTTGCAAAGGCAAAAGCCGTTTGCAACCAAGCTTATATTCCCTAGAGGGAGGGACCGTTAATTAGCATTCTTACTCCCGAGTCGCCTGTGCTACTCTTCCATGAATCCTCCTGCTCTCCCTCACACCCAGCACAGGCTTCTCGGGAACTTCCTCCTGATTGCTGCCGGCGAACCACAACACAAGCAGTGAAATGGCAAATAGTGGTTGTAATAGTGTAGAACAGGGGTGTCAAACTCGATTTCGTTGAGGGCCGCATCAGGGTTGTGTTTGATCTCCGGTGTGTGTGGGGGGAGGCAGAGTGGGTGTGGCCAGCTTGACGTCATTCATGTTGGGGAGGCGCCCAGGGGTGGGTTTCTGGGGGTTTGCAGGAGTTTGGGAGAACCTCTAGCTAAGATTCTGTGAAATTTGAAGAACCCCCAAATCTCATTCCTGGCTGGCCCTGCCCACTCTGCCCCTTCCCATCCCAGGAATCCCCACATGGCCCATTTTGGATGCCAGGTAAGTGCAGGGTGTGTGTGGAGACTCAGGGAAGGCAAAAAATGGCCCTCCCAGAAGTTCGAGAAGGCCAGAAACGGGTGTGTTTCAGGCTTTCAGAGAGCCTCTGGAGTCTGGGGAGGCTGTTTTCACACTCCCAGAAACTCAGGGAAAGCCTCCGGAGTCCGGGGAGGCTGTTTTCATGCTCCCAGAAACTCAGGGAAAGCCTCCGGAGTCTGGGGAGGCTGTTTTCACGCTCCCAGAAACTCAGGAAAAGCCTCCGGAGTCCGGGGAGGGCAAAAACACCCTCCCCCAACCATGGTGCTGGAGGCCAACTAGGCCACGCCCACCATGGCCATGCCCACCCAGCAACCAGGCAGAGAACCTGTTGCTAAAAATTTTGAAGCCCACCCCTAGGGGCACCTTGGTGCCCTGAGCTCTCTGCCAGTGAAAACAAACTCCGGAGCTCCGTTTTCGGCTGGGATGGCCTCCTGCAACCCTCTGCCAGTGAAAATGGAGCTCCAGGGGCCAGTCCTTGGCCATGGACTGGATCCGGCCTGCAGGCCTTGAGTTTGACACTCCCGGTGTAGAAAGTCAGCACCTAACCCCGCCAGAAGAATGAAATATTTTGGGAAATATTGAAAAGGCCGAATGCTATATTTCCCTAATGGAGAAACATATTTAAAAATAAAAAGACAGAAAGCAGCCTCAGTCTTTCCTGATAGCCCCCAGTAGATATTTTGTGTCCATTAAGGAAGATTGGGCCAGCTTATTCCAAAACAGTCCCAGTCTCTCTGTCCCCAAGCAGAAACTGAGGAGGCCATTTTAGAAATGCAGATTTGGTAATCCATTCAGAAAGACTGAACCAAAGGTTGACAAGATTAGCTCATACAAACACCTAGGACTTGCATTTTCTCTTTTGCCTACAGAGCCTATATAAGTATCCTAAGGGGCGCAGTGGCTCAGTGTCTAAGACGCTGAGCTTGTCGATCAGAAAGGTCGACACTTTGGCGGTTTGAATCCCTCGTGCTGTGTAACAGAGTGAGTTCCCGTTACTTGTCCCAGCTTCTGCCAACTTAGCAGTTCGAAAGCGTGTAAAAAATGCAAATAGAAAAATAAGGACCCCTTTGGTGGGAAGGGAACAGCGTTCCATGCACCTTCGGCGTTTAGTCATGCCGGCCTCATGACCACAGAGACATCTTCAAACAGCTCTGGCTCTTCTTCGGCTTTGTAACGGAGATGAGCGCCGCCCTCTAGAGCCGGAAATGACTAGCACGTATGTGTGAGGAGAACATTTACCTTTATGACCCCTACATAACTGCTACATGGTCCCAGAGGAATCTGACGATAGTTAATAGAATATTAAAGGACATATTCTTGCCCAGGAACAGGAAGTTAAAATACAAAGGTCAAATTATTAAACCCCGCTCCCCTCAACTCCATTTTGTCAGCTGTCCACAATCACAAACCCACGCGGTTCTGCTTCATCAATAAACCATCTTTCCAATCACCCTCCATGTTTCCGGTGTCTTTCTCCCAGCCTGGAACTGACCCAGATGGATTTTCCTTCCCACAGTAGAAACCTAAACCGTGATTTCTTATTTGCTAGTGTCTTCACTGGCTTCTCTGGCACGGAGCTGATCAGACTGCGGTGACGGTAAGAGGCTGGACTGCAGCTCATTTGGCTGCCATTCGAGGTCAGGATGCCTGCATGCAGGTGAGTGTCTTCATTTAACCCAGTTTAAGGATTAAACTGGTTTAATTAAAAACCTGGATTCATTTGGAAAGGACATTAGTGTTCCAAGCGGGTTTCTAGGACAGGTGTTATACATTTCCTAGTTGTCATCTAGGAATTTTTTTTCATTTTTTTCTCCATCTTGGTAACTTTAACATGCCAGCATCCTATCTAAGGAATTCTAGGAGTTGAAATCCACTCCTCTTAAAGCCGCCAAGGTTGAGAAATGTTTGGATTTGAAAGCCATATTGTAATAAACCAGGTTTTGGGGAGGAAGTTAATGGTCAAAGATTTGAAGGTGATGTTAAGTTAACTCTCAAAATTTTCAGATTGTCCATATATGAAGAACATATCTTGCCTGGTGATATTGAAGTTTCAGAAGAATGATTCCATACCAGATTTTAAACTTTGCTTCGGTGAAATTTATCGGTTCTTATCATTTATATTGATGGAGACTGAAGTTTCGATAATTTCTTTATTGTTAGGATTTGGGTTTCCCCCCCTCATTTAGTTCTCTTCTCCATATGATAATGGATTAAATGAAATCCAGTAGTTTTGTTGGCAGTTCTTCTTTGCAAGCTTTAACGCCATTAAAAATACAACGAAAATCATATTCTCATTACTTCCAGAATGAATTCACTTATTTATTTGGCAAGATGACCTCAATTATAAGATGGGGGCTACTCGCCAACTGAAAATGGATAAGGATGGAAAGCTCGCAGCCCGGGTTCAAGACCCGGGCATCACATGACAGGGTGAACTCCTGTCCCTTGCTCCAGCTCCGGCCCACCTAGCAGTTCGAAAGCAAGCAAATGCGAGTAGATCAATAGGTACCACTTTGGTGGGAAGGTCACAGCATTCCGTGCACCTCAGCAACTAATCATGCTGGCCACATGACCATAGAAAGTATCTTCGGACAATGCTTGGCTAGAAACAGAGATGGGCATTGTCCCCTAGAGTCAGGTGCAATTGGATGGGGAAACCTTTGCCTTTACCTTTATCCTGTCTAGCTTTCTGAGGTTAACCAAGGGCTGCTAGATGTTCTCACCAGCTCATATGTTTAAGAGATATATTTATGTATTTTCCCAGGCTGTCATGTCCCTGTTAGAATCTGATTCCAATGGAGAGAAGGGACAGCCGACAGGGAGTGGGAATGTGGCTCTGGAGGTTGTGGAGGAAACTGGGGCACAGGCCGGCTGGGCATTCAGAGGAAGACCCAGGCCCACGCCCTCTTCATCCTAGGCCACACAGGGAAGAGCAGATAAGGGAGAAATGTGAATGGCGTGGCCTACGGGGGAGGAAAGGGCCCTGATCCCCTTCATGGGCTGCAGCTGTGTGGACTGTTTAAAAGGACAGACTGCGCATGGGCCAGTGCTGGAAGCAAAGCGTGAAATAATTCTAGTCTTTCAGTTCTTATCCGAGTTCTGGCGTCCTTCCCAGCGTGTGTATGCCAATATCTGTGGACGTCTTCAAGCCCTTATCCTGCCTTGTCTCATTCATTTCTTCAGTGTGGTTTGTGCTGTTTTCTTCCTATTTCTAATTTATATGTATTTTGAGTTTGGATGGAAGTTCTTCCTTTTCACAGCTGTTTGTGGGGGAGTTTTTTCTCCAGTCAATGATAATTGGACCTTTGAAGCCAAGTTGAAGGAATTAAAGGGACTTCACCTATTTTTGTTGACTTTGTTGCTTTTGTATCCCACCCTGGATCATCCCACAGGCCCTTCATCTCAATGCCGTGAATCTAGGACTCCCAGATGACTTAGGATGCACTCCAGCACATCTGGCAGCGACCCACGGACATTCATTCACTTTACAAACCATACTCCGGAGCGGAGTGGTAAGAAATGTAATTTTTTTTAGCGTTATTCCTAAAAGAAATCGGCATAATTCACCCTGCTCCTAGTCTCTCCATAACATTTGCATGCCTGTTCTTCAACAGGGGCAGACAAAAAAGTCAAAATGGTCACCACAAGTATGCAAGGGAAGCCTGCTCTTTATATAGCAATAGCACTTAGACTTATATACCGCTTCACAGTGCTTTTACAGCCCTCTCTAAGCGGTTTAGAGAGTTAGCCAACAATCTGGGTCCTCATTTTACCCACATCGGAAGGATGGAAAGCTGAGTCAACCTGGAGCCTGTTGAGATTCGAACTACCAAATTGCAGGCAGCCAGCAGTCAGCAGAAGTAGCCTGCAGTACTGCACACTAACCACTGCACCACCAAGGCTCTTCAATGCACATTGTATGATTGTGGTCTTGACTTTTGATTGTCTCCTTCTAGACAGCCGTACTTCTTATATAAGGAGGTCAAGCTAGAGACAAATTCCATCCTTTTCTTTCCCACATTCCCACGTTATATTTCTAAGAATGATTTGTGTTCTGTTGTCAGCTTCCAAAGTAGACCAGGCAAGAAACACAACAAGGTCCCTACTTTATCGGAAGGTTATTTTAACCCAATCTTGAAAACCTGAAGGTAGAAAACTCCCACTGTCTCTTTTACTGCCTGATAAGTTAGGGGGGAGGCTTCTCTTTTTCTCTGCCCATTAGTCAGTTGTGGGCTCCCCTTCTCCTTATCTAAATTTTCCCTGGGCTGTATCTCTTCCTATCCCCATCTACCAAGGTCATTCTCACACAACATTACCCAAACTGCAAAGTCAATCATTCGAGAGATAAATGAAATACATACTAAACATAAAAACTAAAACTCCATGGCTAATTGTTTTACCGGCTAACAGCTCTCAAGAAAATATTTAAATTTCATCTTAGACATTTTTCACTTGTGGTTTGCCTGTGATTACCGGAACCGTTTCCTCTGAGTACTGAAAAGAATTTGAAGCCGTTATTTACTATGGAATTCAAATTTGGATCGATGTTCATTTGAATCCACAGAAAAGTTACCAAGGGTCACCAAGAAGCTAAGCAAGAAAGGAGGAAGATAATATTGCTAGATATAGGAGAAGAGCAGGCAGAACTGAGGGATAGAGTTAAGCGAGTCATCAGTCTAGAGTCATTACATTGTCACCAATGGTCTAAGCCCAACCCCTCTTGAATTTCTTTGATCCTTACCTGACATCCATTAAAGTTTTTTTTAAATTTTTATTGGTTTTTAAGATGAACATAGACAAACAAAACATAAAAACAACAAGCCATCTTTTATATATATATATATATTTTCAGTGTGCCTGTTGGTTTACAAATTGTTTTGTGCTTCCCTTTCGTAGTCTTCAATTACAGTTACATTGCATATATTCTCATATTTTCAATCAGGTATTAAATACATTAATATCATTGTTAATCAATCATTTGACTATAGTTTTATTCATTCATGTTTTACGAATAATCATATTTTACTTAAATTGTTTTGTGACAGTTCATATTATCATCTCAAATCTATCCTACAATCGTTTTGTAGATGTAATAAGAAAAGAATATAACTATATATTTATTATTTTCTAAGAATCTTCATATTTCATTACCATGCTTTATTTTCTAACCATTGATAGAATAGATCCCAGATTTTATAACATTTTATCATCTTGTTCTCTGATTTCAAATGTCAATCTACTCATTTCAGCACATTCCAATATTTTCTTAATGATTTCCTCCTGTGATGGTATTTTCTCATTTTTCCCATTTTAAGCAAATACAATCCTAGCCACTGTTAAAACATTTACAGTCAGGTATTTCAATTCTTTACTATATATTTCCGGTAAAATTCCCAATAAAAATATCTCTGGTTTCAAATCTATATGCTTTTTTCTCATTTTTTCCAACCACGTGTGGATTTTAGTCCAATATTTTTTAGAATCCGCACAAGTCCACCACATATGGCAATATGAGCCAGGTGTCTGATGACATTTCCAACATTTTCCCGATTTGTTCTTGAACATTCTTGCTATTTTTGTCGGGGGAAAATGCCACCTGTAAAACATCTTATACAAATTTTCTTTATATGCTGTTGACATTGTCATTTTATAATTTTGAAACCACAATTTTTGCCGTTTTTCTAGATCAATCCCATATCCAAAATTCTTCCCCCAAGCAATCATTGTTTCTTTAACTTGTTCTTCTAGTTTAATTTCTAATAAATATCCATACAATATTTTAATCACCTTTTCATCAGTACCTGTCAAAATCTTATCTAGATCAGTCAGTTTATCATAGAAACCTTCTGTTTTAGAGTCTTTATCATGCCTTGAATGTATTTGCATATGAAAACCAATTCATCTTTATACCTTGTTCCTCTAATTTTTGTATAGATCTAAGTTCACCCTTTTCATTCAATATTTCACCATATCTAACTGTTTGTTCCTTTTTATATATTATAGGATAAGAAAATGCTTCAATAGTTGATAGCCAGACTGGAATTTTCAAATAGCATTGTCTTTTAGTCTACTCCCAGTTTAACCACAGAGACTCCTGTATATAATGTCTTCTAAAATATCCCTGTGATTTAGTTCCTTTATACCATAGAAAAGCATGCCACCCCAACAACAGAGCATGTCCTTCTAATGTCAACAATCTAGTGTTTCTTAATGTTATCCATTCCTTAACCCACATCAAATTTGTAGCTTGGTAGTACAACTCCCAATTAGGCAAACCAAATCCTCCTCTTATTCTAGCATCTTGCAAAAGCTTTAGCTTTATTCTCGCTTTCTTTCCTTGCCATATATATTTCAACACAATTTTATTTAAATCTTCAAAATAGTCTTTTCCAAGCCTAATTGGCATTCTGGGCAGGATATTCATCTTGACAGTTGTAGATTTTCCCATTTCGCCAAATCTAACGCTATCTGCTGCTTAAGTTTGATATAATTATTCTCTTTTAATGTACTGCATCTTGCTGTCAGATGTATCCCCAAGTACTTGATCTTATTCGTTACCTGAATTTTCAATAGATCTGCCAGTTCTTCCTTTTGTCTTGATAGCATATTCTTTGTCAAGATCTTTGTCTTATCTTTGTTTATTTTCAAACCAGCCACTTTTCCACATGCCTCTATCTATTTTGATGCTGTTTCTAGTGGGTCTTCTAAAATGGAAACCAGATCATCTGCAAATGCTTGCAACTTAAATTCTTCCTGTTTAATTTTCATCCCTTTTATATCCTTTTCTTCTCTAATATTTTTGTTTAGCACTTCCAAGGTTAACACAAACAACAGAGGTGATAGTGGGCACCCTTGTCTTGTTCCTTTTCTTATATCAATAGAGTCTGTCAGTTCTCCCTGTATCATTACCTTTGCCGTTTGCTTATGAT